CCTGTGCCAGGGCCTCCCCACCCTCACAGGGAGGAATTTTTTCTTAATATCTAATCTAAACCTACTCTCTGTCAGTTTGAACCCATCTTTCCTATGTCCTGGCCCTCCAGGCTTTGGTAAATAGTTTTGCCTCATCTTTCCTCTAAGTTCTCTGCAGGCCCTGGAAGGCCACAGTTAGGTCACCCCAAAGCTTCTCCTCTCCAGGCTGAACAATCCCAGTTCTCTCAGCCTTCCCTCCCAGCAGAGCTGCTCCAGCCCTCTGATCCACTTGGTGCCTCCTCTGGACTTGCTCCAAAGGAGGAATTTCCATTTTGCTGTTGGTATTTCAGTTGTGGAGGTTTTTTTTGTTTGTTTGGATTTTTTATATATCTCGCTGCAATACAGTTTGTTATTGATTTCTCCTATTTGTGACATACAATGTTTTAAAACACTAGTTAATGGACTGTATTAATTCCTATCAGACATTGTGAACATCATTCCATCATTCCCAAGATAAGAAGGACATGGAACTGTTGGAGCAAGTCCAGAGGAGGTCATGAAGTTGATAAGGGGGACTGGAGCACATCCTGTAGGGAGACAGGCTGGGAATGTTCAGGCTGGAGAAGAGAAGGTTTTGCAGAGACCTCAGAGCACCTTCCAGGATCTGAAGGGGCTCCAGGGAAGCTGGAGAAGGACTGTTCATCAGAAACTGGGGTGACAGGACAAGGGGGAGTGGCTTCAAACTGAAACAGAGGAAATTCGGGTTAGATATCGGAAATAATTCTTGCCTGTGAGGATGGAGAAACCCTGGCACAGGTTGCCCAGGGAAATTGTGGATGCCCCAACCCTGGCAGCGTGCAGGTCCAGCTTGGCCAAAGCCTTGAGCAACGTGGTCTAGTGGAAGGTGTCGCTGCCCATGGCAGGAGGATAGGTTGGCACGAAATGAACTTTACAGTCCATTCCAACCCCTTAACACTGTATAATTCCATGACCCCAGTTTCACAAAAGGCCTTTTAACACTCCAACTCACTAGCGCATGTGACCCTCAAGGAAAGATGCCTTTGCGCGTCTACACATCCCCCTTACAGATAATTTGATGTAAAAAACCCACCTTTTTTTCCCTCCCTTATTTTCCTTTTTGGAGAGTCTTTGCCGGGGGGCGTGGCTGGGGGCGTGGCCACAGGGCGGGAGGGGCGTGGCCTAAGGCACAAGGGGCGCGGTCTGGCGGGCGAGGGGCGTGACCGACGAGAAAAGGGGCGTGGCGTGGCTCAGGGGGGCGTGCCCGGCGCGCGGGGCGGGGGGG